GAACATGAGGTATTCCTGAATAAGGACTGGTTTTCTTTGGATTGGTATGGTAGTCTGCCGGAGAAGTCTACACATGAAGTCTACGGAAGAAGAAGCAGAGTTCCAAATAAATCGGACGGATACTACTGAAGAAGGAGTCCAAATTTCTAATCTTGTCATAATGTGGTATTATTAAAAGTTTCTATTTTTCTTATGCATTGCATTTGCAAAATTCTTGGGTTATTTTGTATCATAAAAATCGAATTAAAGAATTCTATCAAAAAAAACTTCATAGATTATCATATACATTCTGAGACATGGCATTAGCCATACAATGCCAGAGTTACCCGAGTTACGTCCTGCAATAGTTCCAAAAAATAAAGGATATGGGTTTTTCTTACATCAACTAAATATATGCAAGCATCCTAAAAATTTAGCGGAAATACAAAAGCATCTTGTTGGACCAATATTACTCATAAAGGTCCAACCCGTTAAACGTGCATAATTCCGTACCACCTATGCGAGTCTCGTCGTATATCTCAGCAGCAAGCTTCTCCGTTATTGCAACAATGTTGGCATCACACAAGGTCTTGGGAAATGGAAGGCCGAGAGCATGGCATTCAATATACTTTATAGTATACACTCCACAATCACCACTTTGTACGTTTTGTGGTACACCTACTTTAATCCGCTCATGCGTGTATCGATCATATGAATACTTGTGTCTTTCCTCTACTAAACATGTATCACGGATGAGAGCAGGCATGATGACGGCTACGGCTCCACTGCCACGTCAATTTCTTCATCTTTTGCGTAACTCAGAATACTATCCCAGACAATAATGTGTCTCTTTGAAAGTGAAATCCACAGAGTCACCCAATGATTACCTTTTATGTGTAATGGGTTGTATATATCATCCACTTCCATCCCCCACAGCTTGTTTGATCTGCAATAAGTTGGTTCCAAACCTTTTTGGTAATCCAGCGCTCCAGCTGGTAAGAGTTTACCAGAACCATCTGGATTTGCCAGAAAATCAACGAACTCCTCGTACTTGGCAGTCCACATCGCGAATAGAATTGTATCAACAAAGCAAATCTTTTTGCTCGTAAACCACTCCGGATGGTTCGAGTACCGAAACCTCAGTAGACTAATAGCAGCATCCATGTGCTGAAATAGTAACACAAAAACTCAGCAAAACAGAACAATTACTAGCTTAAAAAAGTCTACTAAAGAAGTCTAATAACAAAGTTTACTAAAGAAGTTTACAGTACCGAGTCTTTAAGAAATTCCTTCGGTTCTCGTAGAATCCAATAGCACTCTGCACTGGTGTGCTTCACTATCTCCGTTGGGGTAATTGTTGTATACAATCACATTTCAGTACCATCACAATTTATTTTATCATTACTAAGCTGATAAACAAAGTAATACAAGTAGAGATCTATTACATACAGATCAACTGCTAGCCAATCTTCAAGTACCTTAACCTTTTGCTTATCAACGGGCTCAAAAGGATTGTATCCTTTTCCTTTTGGAGTGGTAACCTTTAATTTTTTTTCCTATGAAAGGAGTAACATGTGATGGAGCAGGCTTCTTTAGCCTTTCACTCTTTGCCCTTGCCAAATTCATGGCCGCGTTTTTCTGTTGACTTTGTTTTGCTATTTTAGAGGAAATATAATATGCTCGTGGTTCTACTCTTCCAATAATCATAACACTTGGCTCAACCCCATAGACACTCTCACTTTGCACGTTCCACATTAACAAATTTACTCTGCATATAGGAATATAAAAGTAAACAACTTAGAAACTGAACACTATTAAAGTAAACGTAATGAAATAACAAAAAGTTGTAAATTTCTTCCTACCAAAACATAGAAGCAAGGTTCAAACAACTTAAGACAATTTGTAAACTAAATAACGAGGTTCAAACAACTTAAGGTTCACACAACATGAAACAAATGATACTACTACTTCTTGACAGTTTCTTTTTTCACACGAATCCTTTCGCTTGTTCTTTTGTTTGCAAGAATTGTTTTGGGTTTAGATTTTTTACTAACCCCAACATCAGAAATCCCATGGTGCATGTTGTTCTGATCATCATTCTCGCCTTTTTCCACAGCAACAGTTGGTGGAGCAGCGTTGGATTTCACATTCTCATTCAATTGCTCTCCCCCTTTCTCTCCATCTTCCACTGCCAATTTCTCTCCACCTTTCACTTTAGACTTCTCCATAACTACCACCTTATTAGTAAGGCCATCAATCTTCTTTTCAAGCCTACTAAAACCATCATCTATCTTTCTTGACAAGTTCGTAATGCAATTATCAATGTGTGATTGAAGTTCCCGTATCATTGACACCAGATCGTCTTCACCACTACGAGACCTCTTCCGGCTTTGTCCGTCTGTGTGAAAGCTGAGAGTTTCAGATCATACCCTG